GGGAGAGAGAGAGAGGAGTGAAGATTAAATTCTCAAATCTTTTATAAGACTTATAAGAAAGATTTTTTCTAATTTAAACAAGATATTTATACTCTTAAATGAGTTACTTATATTCCAATTAAATTATAATTTATCGATAGGATAATTATAAATAAAATGATGCTTGAAAATTAATTATGAAAAACGGATTAAATTTATAAGATGTTATCAAATCAAATTTTCCAATCGATACTATATATAGTGACAGTTTAAATACCGTGCTTAAAATTAATAATATTTTCAGCATTTTTAATATTCTTGTAGCTCATTTAGGAGACTCGGAGGTAAATACTTGTGCAATAATCCGTTATCATAAACCATCGTTGCTGTTAAATATGCTTAAAGTTTAAAAAAAAATTCAAAAGATTTATTTCTTTCGCTGAAATGAAGAAAGAAATGCAGACTTGCGTTATTGCTTTCAGTTTTCTTTGTTATTAATTTCGAGAACAATCGAAAATCCATCGCGGCTCCGTCGGAGCGAGGCGAAGTGACTTTTCGTGACTTGTCACGTCCGCGCTCGTCGACGAGCTAACCGAATTTGATCGTTCCTGTAGTCCCGTGGTGTGCCGGGAGTTTGCGACAATTGGCACCATGTCAGAGGTGAGACGCGGAGGGAGATATAAGAGGTGAGTGACGTCGTTGCCAACGGTCATCATCAGATGTCGCTTGGCCGCGATTCGTCCGCGGCTCGTTCGTGTCTGTTCGTGCAGCTGATACGCCTGTTGTCGTCGTCGTCGTCGTCATCGTCGTCGTCGTCGTCGTCGTCGTCGTCGTCGTCGTCGTCGTCGTCGTTGGCGACGAGGAGCGCCGTCAGTGAAATCCCGATCGATTCTCCGCGATCATCGCGGATCGGCGAATTGGTGCTTGCGTCTGACGCCTGGTGCGACGCGCGATAACCGATCACCTCGCCGGCGAATGTTTTTCGCGCGCGTACTCGCCGGAGAGAAAGGGGCTTCGATCGAGGGGGAAATTCGATCGGGAATCGGACCGACCTCCTCTTCCTCTTCCGACAAGGAAAGGCGTCTTAAAATATCCTCCGAGTTTGAGTGGGACGAACGTCTCGAGCAGCCGCCCGAAATACCGGCGCGTCCGACATGCACGTCCGACGCGCGATGTGAAGAGTTGCGACGTGAGGGTGAGAGATCGCGGGAAGATCGCGAGGAGAGTTGTGATCGCGAGGGTGAATAATCGATTTGACGGTGTCGACGGTTATCGAGGGGAAACGAGGAAGGAAATGGCATTGTTCTCCGGTGGCGGCAGCGGTGCCGGCGGCGGAGGGGGTGGGCCGCCGCCCATTAAACCGGAAGACGGCATCCCTTCCAGGCAACGGAGCCTCAAGGATCGGCTGCGGGAAGGCATCACCGGTGGATTCGCATGGCAGTAAGTAGTAGTACATCACCGACGTGTGATTTACGGAAATGCAGAAAGCTGCCAGCTCATTTTTATCGTACACGACCTCGACCACTTTGCATTCTGTATATTTTACTTTTTACCTCGTTCGCCGGCTATAATTTCTTATTTCCTCGTTCTTAAGAGATTCGCCTCGGGACGTTGATAAACGCTACTGGTGTTACATCGTTACAAACGAGCTTCGCTATATGAAGAATTACGCAAGAATTGTAAATACTAAGGCACGATCAAAAAATAAAAAGTGTTTTAATAATATAATTTTTTATTTCATAATCGCGAGAACCGAAGGTAAGAAATTATTTTTGTATATGAGCATGATTTTATTATACACACGCAGAATGTACTAAAGTTTAGAAATTACATCGGTTTATCTTTTTCAGCTTGAATTTGTTTTTTTTTTTTTTTTTTTTTTGTTCGTTAAGTTTTGTGGATTTATATGACATGGTTTTCTGAAGAGAGCAAAGTGGCTCTGGAGAATAAGAGATCTCGTTTGCGGACACTGCTGATATGCTTGATTAAAACTTCTGCGCACTTCTCTATTTGAATAGGTTTCATGTTTCTCATTTAACGGAAACATTTTGCTCGAAGCATTTGATATATTTAATATACAATTCTTGCAGTACAGCGTTGCACCGTTCGCGCGAGCCATATCGTAATTATTTATTAATGTACACGCGTTTTATTCATGCGATTATTCACGCAATGTTGCGTCGGAAATGCGATTAATATTGCAGGAAGATTTCATGCGAACTCGGCGTGCATTTTTTTTTTATACGCCGGAAATTTATTTTATCGATACGTTCTCCAAGACGGATCGTCGCGCCTGGCTCGGTGTATGGCGCGTGTTACATTATAAAGTAAGGATTATCGATCATTTTAATAAATGAGCGGTGTGAAACCGCCATTACCATAAGACCGGATAAGCCGGACACTGTATAGTAGAAGGTGTATCCAGCAGATGGCGGTCATAGGTACTTTGATAATTATCCGCTTTTATAATACCATTATCATACCGGTATTTTTTTAAAAAATACCGCTAGTATCTAATGACGCTTCGCGTTGAAAAATATTTTACCCGGCAATAAGAGATTTTATTTAGAATTATGTCAAGGACGATGCGTATGGGTGACTTTTTTTTTTATCTTTATTTTTATCTTTATTTTTGAATTTGAAAATTTATATGATACCCGTCGCTGAGATTTGTCAGGTGGAATGGAAACTTTTCAAGCTCCTTTCCGACGAGTAAATATTGTGACGACGTGGCCTCAGATTTAATGATTTATCCGCCGGGCCTGGCGATTATCCGACCCGCGCAACTCGTTATTCAATCTCTCGCGATCTGATTTTTTTTTTTCTTTTTTTCTTTTTTTTCAGCATACAAAACGAGAGGGAAAGTTATTAAATTGCCATCACCTATATAATGGCCGACGAACCCGCCAACTTGTTCCTTTACACGACCCTGACCCCTCTCTTTTGCCGTTGGGCCAGGCTTCGCCAGGTCCGACACCATAAATTATCCAGCGCTCCAGTTTTTCAGACTCATGCTCGCTTGTTTTATCGTCGGACTCGCGCATGTTGTTTTTTTCCATCCTCCCTGTCTTCCGCAGCGGTTTCCACTTTGTCAGATATTTATTTTTCCACTTTGAAATTCCACGCTCGGTGGATGAACCGATCGCGTGATTCGCTCGCGCGCGTTGTCCGCCTTGTCGTTTTTGCCATATCGATTAGCGTTGAACAAGCATTGAACTTACGATTCCTCCGTGGAGTCGTTCGTGCAGCAAGTATTTTATCAAATCTATTAAATCAGACTGTTGAATTTAAGTATCAAACCTTAATATTTATGATCAATCCTTTATATTAAGTCCTCCGTCAATCCTGAATTTAAGCTAATGCTTTGGCAATCTTTTACATAATTCTCCAACATTCAAATTGTACACAATTGTAATTATTAAAAATCATATTTCTGGAATCTTATAATATCTTATAATATCTTTTTCGAATAATAAAGATTTTTTTTTATTTATTTTAAATCTAATCAAATTTATTGGACCAATTTTATTGGACTTATGAATAAAAAAATTTTTATTATTTGAAAGAATTAAGTAAAATTTAGCTTGATTATGAATATTAATAAATTCTTTATTAATTATCATATTGCAATATACATTCATCGACACATTTATCCTTTACTGTTAATTTTTCCACGATGAAAAGATAATTTATAATTCCTTTACAAAAATTATCCAATATCTATAAAGATGCTAACTTGTTATTACATATTAAGGATAATATGTTGTTCTCCCTCGTGTTATGCATTATTATATCGATCTCAACGATATAATAAACTGCAGATGCGACATTAGACGTTTATAACACATGTCATGAATTTCCGATTCGAATCATGGATGCGACAGATACATTGGGAACAGATGACTATCATCCGGTATATATCAAGTAGAACATAAATCAAAATATAATCAGTAATTGGTCATCAGGAATTCTAATTGCTAGTTAGTTTTCTGGTGTTTTCTTTAGATACTGGCCAGGAAATAACCGTATTTCAATTCTTATCGGATGTAATTTTTTAAATTAGTAATTTTCTTATCAGTTATTGATGAAGAAATTTTAAATAGCGCCATTATAAAAAAATAAAATTATTCATTCTTTGATTGTTAACAAATATTATTTAAACAAGATTTTTTTTCCTCTGATTGTCGTACAACTACTGTTTAATGAATTCAAAATAAGTGCGAAAATTAGTTTCTGACCAGTTTCCGATTTGTAAGTGTTGTTTTCCTCAGAGATTTTCCTGCTTATCGTTGGAATACAATTTCTCTCAACCATTTTACATATAGATATGACGCCGACATGACGCACATATGTTGTCTATATAGAGATACTCGATAGATGTATAGGTGTGAAACAATTCGGCGCGTCGTTTAGTACGAAATAATTATCTGATGGCCCAGTTTCACTTTTTGACGAGCTGGAAGCAGATTATCGCACACTTGGGTCTTCAAATGCAGGAGTGCAATTATTTTCATTTTTGAACGCTTCGTTGATAAGTTTTTATTAATAATTTTCAAACCGTGAGATATAATAATATAATCTAATTTTGATAATAATATAGTCTAATTTTGATTAACATCATACTTGGATTTTAACTTGATTAACGCTTCATTTTGCGTCTCCAAGTTTACGTCACGCAAAATCTAAAATCTGGTATTTACAATGCATGTGCCGCGCCATTTGTCACATATGTGCCATTCGGAACAATGATTTTATAATTTATAAAGTTTGTTGCATAATTTTATATTCAAAGGATGAGTATCAGGAACTTATATTATTCGTGCTCTAAATGATTCATGTATAAACTGCACGTACGTCCCTTGTAAAATATGAATCGTGTAAAAGTTTCGCCGCTTTTGTACAGTTGCGACTTACTTTTACCTCGATTACGAATGTCTTATTGTAGCTACATTAATACAGTTTCAGTATTTTATACAGTTAAGCAATTATTACTATAAGATGTAGCCATAGTTTCTCGGAAATTTAATCTTTTCTAACGTAACAAGTAAAGCTAGCTCTCTCTCTCTCTCTCTCTCTCTCTCTCTCTCTCTCTCTCTCGACAGTTACAGTTACGTTATAATTACTTATACAAAAGAATTGAAATTTATATTAAAATTACGTTGTCCTACGCCGTTGGTAGGAAATTCTTTTTCGCTATTTGTGGAAAATGCTTTCTACAGCGGCCATCAAGGTCACGGCCGATATCGAGTTCGGATCGGTAACGAACATATCGATTGTTCCGGTAGGCCGCCTCTTACATCGAGAGGAAACAAAGGAGCAGCCCGCCCGACACCGCCCTTTATGTGCGGGCGATGTATTTGCCCTGTGTGCACGGCGGCAGCGACTGAGATGTGCCGTTCGCATCTATGCTATCGAGTTGCCGTTATCGTCTGCCATCGGATACACATGTGCATGTACTTACCGTCCGTACCATACACATGTCGGCACACATATTTCCCCGATGTATACACAACACACGCGAAATGACCGCGAATTTAGATCGCGTTCCCGAGGTCTTCGAAAACATTCCGGATGACCGGCTTAGAAGCATCTCGCGCCACTTCCGCCACTGTGGACCATTTCAAGATTATTATCCGGCATCGAGAAAAGAGAGATAGAACGAATAGTGTCTTACCGCAAGGTTTTTCAAAGACCTTTTTTTTTTCCTTTTAATAAAATTCCTTCTAATAAAAATTTATATTTTTTTATTTCTATCGAAACGAACGTTGGAAATTGTTATCAACGAATTATATGTTAATTTCTAAAGGTAACCTGATTCACATCGTATTTCGTATATAATAAATTAAATAAATGCATATGTAATATTTGCCTCGTTAACCTCGCGTATCAGCCACAGCCCTTCATCTCATTCATTACATTATCATCTCATTATTATTCAAAAGTTAATAATCTCATTATACAAAATACTTTCCTCATTAAAGTTCACGAAGTGAATTTCTTTTACGTTCGCACACGTACAAGAAATATCCAAAAATGAGAAAAAAAATGTAGAAGAATTATTTTCTTCTAATTATTTCCTAATTAGAAACTGCAGGAGCAGGCTAGAGCGTCGTTCCTCCCGTGCGTATTTCTCAATGCCTATAGACTTTATTCGGTTACATATTTTCAGCCCAGGAGGTATTCATCATGAATTAATCTTGCTAGTATCAAGCCTAAAATATTCGCATCTGGGCACGTCCGCGGAATTACGGTGCGGATACGTGTCCAAGATCCTCGCGAGGTAGAGGATTCGCCGCAGGCTCCTCTCGGCGCATCTGAGCCAGGAGGAATTGCCTCGGATGGCAACTTCAAGAAATGCATAGCCAGCCGCGTAACCCAGCAGAAGTTTCCTGATTAAATTATCGGGCGCGCGCTCGTTCGTCTCGTTCGAGCATTTCGCC